TAGACAATAAGCCAAAAATGCCACACAAAGTTTAAATTAAGGTACTTTTAGATCCAATATGCCAATGATAGTTCCTTATATAGTACTCTGTGTTAAAGATGTCTTAGACTCTTAATATNTAAACAGTTAATTAACAAACATAACTTTCCAGTCAATACTATTTGTAGTGTCAACAATTTACTAGGTGACAGTTGCGTCTACACATAAAACGGTCAGCTGCATTTTGTTTCACTTGAAAAGACAGTGATAATTTCACGTTAAAAATTAATTTTTTGCTTTAAGTTGATAGAGAAAACATTTCGAAGTCGAACAAAAAAAATACCGCAATTGATAGAATTGAAGAGAAAACATGTCGCATTTTCCAACATTCCACATAGTTCAATATACAGATTATTTTGCTGTCCGTGAACGACCAGCAATATCAATCACTTCTTACTTGTCCAGACATCTGTACCTGGATCAATAAACAGATACTTCCGTCCATAAAATGCTATTGTTAAATCCAAATCACCGATTAATTGGCAGCAACTCAGATATCATTATCACCGGGCTTGTATTACTATTCGCAATGCCATATTGCCGTCCGTTATTTCCTAATTGTTAAGTAAGCCAGCACCATCATTATATACCTACTCTTCAATCTGGCCAACCAGAGTGTTGACTTACAAAACAACCATTACTTTTTATAATAAAGAAGATAATACCATATTTTAATGGCTTATTGTTTCAGCTACTCATATGACACCTATACATTGATTTGTGACATAACACTAGGATAATTATACACGTAATAACAGTTTTTTAAAAATTAATTTAACATTTAATTAGGTAGCATCATCCACATAGCTATCAATTTTTTTTATTCAGAGGGCCTTTTCACAATGTGATTGGAACATAATTACTTGTATTTTGGGGTCGTACTTATGCCAATCCTGCAGAAGAGAGCAAGGTGCAGCGTGCCAAGATTATTTGGTACTGATGTCCAAGACATTTTCTGAGAGGCAATTTTACAGTAAATCACGCTGTTTTTCTGTAACACGTACGATGCCTGAAGTAATGGATCGACAAATATGTTGACAATAGAGGACATTAAATATAAAAATTGCTACATCATAGGGAGAAACACTGTACGTCAGGACTGTGTAACACTATATTGCGAAGAGAACAATAAAGCAGAAAAGAGAGAGCTTGAAATATGATGTGCTAATGTTTAACACCTGAGAGGGTCGTTGAAAAGAAAATAACCGTGTAATCTTTGGGTAGTCAAGGGAAAATGGATTGCCAACCATCCAGTCCTATTATCGTCGTTTTTCACAATAGCAAATGTTTTGGGGAGGGCTTTAAATCCGTGAAGGTCAACGACAATTCATACCAGACTTATACCAGAACCTTTCGTTTTGAAGGGTTGTCAAATTGCGATATCAACATGATAATTGAAAGGGACATGCACTCTCTGATAGACGTACACTATGGCAACTGTAGTTCAATATTTCAAAACGACGAAAGAAAACACATTGCATTGGTGGCTATACAAAAAGAAGAAAGCTGCATTTCTGGGAATTATTGATTGGAAGACCTCTCACCGAACGCTGGAGTTCACGCTGTCGTAACCAAGCCCCAGTCTGATGGAGATATTGGATGTCTCCTCGTTAAACTGTTGATTAAGGATGTCCAGACGTAAATTGATTAGTTAAGAAACAATGAGGCCCTCCACATTTGAATTATGTATACGTCAAACTTTCTAGATTAAATAGGATAAAACCTCTGTGACACTTTACAATATTAATTTTAGTTCGTGTATTAGTTCTGTCATATGACGCCTTTACGGGAAATCAATGAGAAGCGAGTTTTTTGAACGGCCAATTGCTTGAAGCACAATTGTTATTTCTTTGAAAACGCTTATGGCATGTGAAATAGTTTTGTCAAATATATGTCACTATGTGTTGCTCCTTCATGTTGAAACCTCAACGTAAACTTTATAATCATACATATATGTACAGATTCAACTTTGACAAAGGTACTGCCCACCAGTTAAGGTTCTGATATTGTCATCAAATGAACTGGGTCGTTTTGTTACTGACTGCGAAAAAAGGTGTCTTTTCAACCACAAGGGCATACAATGAGCGTTTAGGCTTTATATAACATTTTTTTCTGGAAATCCTTATATTTGCCCCTTCATTGCCAGCCAAGCTATATCATATCCAAAACCGTTTAGAAAAAATTCCAATAAACCTGTATAAAACCGTTTTCGAATTCTAAATTCCAAGTTTCACCGTTATGAACAAAACTCACAAGCCTTCATCTCCGTTATGAGAGTGACTTAACACGAACTAGTACTGTTGATAGAAAATCATCAAAAATTTTGTCTTCTGGAATCCAGTTATAGTCCACAAAATCTAATACTTGCATAATATATTACCAATAAATAAATAAATAAATAAATAAATAAACACTTTAATTTGCAGAGCTTTTTAATCAGCTGGACAGGTTTTTAAATATCAAACCATGAATGTGATACTTTCCTGACCTGTTAGACCACGGCATTTGTTCACTTTTTATAAAATGCACTTACTGCTACATTAGCCGCAATCTTTTGTCTAGTTACTACAATTACGCAAATGTTTTTGACCACGGAAAATATCAATTTAACTGCCAGCCTTAAGCAGTTCAAGCAACAACGCGGATGTGCAGTGAATTTTGGTAATATCTTAACAATTACCCGTAAAAAAAGGTATCTGTCGGAAAGGAGTTACATGAATACTGTTTGATTTAGTTACGAGTGCGTATCGGCGTTATGTGTTATTTTCAACACAAAAGCATTCATTGACCTCAGATACGGGTGCTTCTGCTTCCGAGAAAACATCATACTTGTCTGCTTGAAAAGATAATACTCAGAGTCGCAAATAGAAAAATGAAATCGATATCTTGAATAACAATGACCCAATGTGGAGTTTTAAAAATGGTACCGTCAGAAAACAATTCAACGGAAAATAAATAGACAATAAGCCAAAAATGCCACACAAAGTGAAAATTAAGGTACTTTTAGATCCAATATGCCAATGGTAGTTCCTTATATAGTACTCTGTGTTAAAGATGTCTTAGACTCTTAATATCAAATGAAAAAAATGTTTCCAACAGGTCCTGTCTCTGAGGGTCGATTAAAAAAAATTACCTATGAGAATAAGGTAATTACTTTTAAAAAGACTATATATAAATCGCATGTACGGTATTCTGAAAGCTCAAATATGCGAAGCATTTATACACAATTAAATAAACTAAATAAATAAATAAACCCGATACATGTCTAAATCCCTACAGTTACAGGTACAGGTGAACTGTCTCTTCAGACAGTGATATTCTCAATTTTAGTGGTGGATAGACATATGCCTAAGGACGACTAGGATTGCGTAAGGGACCAAAGAAAATAACACCTTTTTCCGATGTGGTTTGTATCTTGCTCACAGGACACTTGATTCTTTTAATTCAACCATCACAAAAGTTTAAATATGAGGCTCGAGATTTAGAGTGTGCATTTTGGTGCATTAAGCTACATATACGTGTATATAAGCAAAACCAGTGGAACGACAAACGATGTATCTGATTTCGAAACGTTTCCCTAATTTTAGTGATGTCTTATACTTTTGTGACTTAAATGAGTTATGGTGTTTATTACTATAGGAATAGTCATTTTCCATTTACGCAGTGCAACAGTGATTTTTTTCTCTGCAGAATCCCTCATGCCTATAACAATTTAATGTGAATTGTAGTCAATAGTAGGACAAACAGGCACCTTTCATTTTGTCTTTTTTTTTTTTTTTTTACAAAAAAGCTGACATAACTCTGACGGTAAACTAAACGTCGGCACATTACCTTTCAAAAGAGAGGCATATTAATTTTCACTACTACAAATGTCATGAGGAAATGTTAAACTATAAAATTTATAAAATCTAACCAAATATCTCTTGCTACCAAAAGCGAGGTAAAAAAATCATATGGAATCATAAGTTCTTTTTACACGAAAATGTTCTCAATTGACCGAGCTCTTTTGTTGCTGAAATAATGACACTTCACATTTCACCATACCTTGGCACTGATGCCCGTTGACCAGTGTGTACCCACTTCTACAACTACAGTAGTACGAGCCATGAGTATTGTGGCATGTTTGGTCACATCCGCCATTGTTACTGTTACATTCGTTAACGTCTGGAAGAAGTTAAATGTAGTTAATAAATTCCATTTTAATGTAAGTGTAACTTTTAATGTAAGTGTAATCTCTCTCTCTCTCTTCTCTCTCTCTCTCTCTCTCTCTCTCTATATATATATATATATATATATATATATATATATATATATAATAACCAACCATTAGCACGAAAAAATCTGTTTCATGCTTTCTCGTTCTTTAACTCACCAGCGCAATTAGGTGACGCGTATCCAGAGGGGCACGAACAATAGTCTGGTTGTGTACAAGTTCCACCGTTAGGACAACTGGAGCAAATAGCTAAAAAAACAAACAAACAAAATTGAATTGTGTTTAACTGCAACAGTGTTCAAGGCCACCTCCCTTTGATTCTTTCTTAATCTTCATCAACATTGTGTTCCAACAATTTGTCTCTGTCCCCACATCTCACATACATACACACACTGGAAAATAGAAGTGTCACCCCCTGAATCAGAGTAATCAAAGTTATAAAGCCTGGTCTACTTATAATGTGACTAATGAGTATAAAACCGATGTTTTGTGGAATTTGATGCTAATAAAATGATACCAGGAGCATATCATTCCACAGTCATTATCTCCCCCAAAGTACTGGTTCAGTAGGGGTGACACTTCTATTGTCCAGTGTGTGTACAGTCATTTACAGTCATTCCATACACTCTGACATGCCAGCCTCACTTTTCGCGGTTGGTTCCACACATTTCTTGCAAACTTGGAAATAAATTCCAATCAATTCCAGTTTGTTTTTTTTACTCATCAATTTAACACGTCATTCCAGACTTACGCGTATTACAGCCGCTTCCAGTCCATCCCGTTACGCACCTGTAGCAGCTGTGATAGCAAGCTTGAGAAACTTGCCTGGAGATAACATGGAGTGATATTTTCTATAAGAAGTTTATAATAGCCAAACATGGCAGTACCTATTAGGCTTAGGTACATTGTTTGTGATAAGAAAACAGCTTTATTGACAGCGATAAATTCACAGGTTGTTGGCGTTTCCACCTTTATACAAATATTCAGATAAAAATTAAAACAAAATATTTTAGGCGCACATTTTACGCATGAAAATTCTTATAATCATTGGTAATTAGCGTCCTTCGTTTAAAAATGAGAACCCCCCTCCATATACAACATATTGTCAAGTGGCTTATAATTTTGTGAAATTGTACTTTACCTATATCTTGTACATCTGGCCATATTAAGGAATCCACATGCTTCAGTGTAGCGCTGTTGGCTATAACAGGTCTGTGAACACTGATAGGACTCTGTCAAACCAAAGCTGAAAGATCCAGACATTATCCCCAATTTTTTACAACATTAGAAGTGGTACTAAAGCTTGAAATTGAGACTTAAAATGTGGCAGCAAGACTACACATTTTGAAAAAAAAATAATTTTTCGTTTACCGTGCATATAAAATCTTGATCTACCTTTGCCGATGTACAGCTCAATTTTAAAGGAAACAGCTAAATATTCAATTAAAAACAAATACATCGAAAATCGACTTTTTTATAAGCATTCGTGAGGAGTTAAAGGAGAATAGTAAATTTAAAAAAAAACAACATTTGTTAATTGTTTTCTCCGTAAAACGCTTTACACTCACCTTGTATCTGTAAAAAGGGCCATAATAAAAAAGACGACATGACAATATCGCTTAATCATGTTAACGACTGCGACCATTTTCTCTTTTGAAATAATGAGCTCTGCTTTGCGTCTGACCAAAATTACGAAACACTGTTCACCGCACTAGCCTCACTGCAGCAAGCCCCCGCTGATTGACTGCGATTGGATTTTTATCCCGTTGGGTCTGTGAAGACTCAAGTGACGTGTATTGATCAGGGCTCAGATAACCTCTCTGTCACCACCCCTTTTGACACCTGATGAAGGCTAGTCTATACTATACTGTACTCGCTGAGAGGACACCCATCGATATAATCAACTGTGTTTTCCTGAAGTGTACACCTTGCCCTTTAAAAGGGATGGGGCGTTCGGGGGGGGGGGGGTTCTGGAGTTGTGCAACCATTACCTGAAGTCTTGACAATGAGTTAGTGGGTGGACTGGTGGACTGGAAGGGTTGGGGCACATTTCTACATCCTCCGTACCCCTTGTCTCTAAATGATAATTTGGCCACCAGAATGTCTTATAATTTTATTAATTTTTTTTTTGAGGGATGGGGGGCGGATGGGGAGGGTGCAGGACAAAGCACTCAAAATGTGTAAAGTCATTAGTTAATATGTTATCATTTACAATAGTAACACTTAAAACCAAATTAATCGACTGTTAATAATGAAAAAATTCTGTTAAGATATAAAAGTCGTATTACTGTTACCGACATCTACGTTTCGCGAAAGAGAACAATTACACGTGTTCAGTACAACAACAGCAGTACCACCAGTAGCAGCAGTCATTGCAGTGTTAGCATCGGCAATTGCAGCACTAACAACGGCAATATTAGCAGTTGTAAAAAGAGCGCTTTGGACACCGGAGTAAATATCAATTTCGCTCACATACAGTGCAACCCCTGGACCTGCAAGGTAAGGCAACATTATTGACTGTGAAGTATTTGTTTATCGTTAGAGTGATTATCCTATTCAACGTGTAATATCATCTTTCAGATTGCGCCTGGCGTGCTGTAATTACGAACATTTTAGAAATGAATTTGAAATAAAATTTTACAGGTAACGGTTATTGTCGCATTTATTATACTCAGAGGCTTAGGATTTTTATTTTCTTCTTCATGGACAAGACGAAGGCGCTCTAAGGTTATATAGGCCCGAAATATAGGGTAGTTTGCTACACAAAATATTACCTTTCTCTTTAGGCGATGCTATTAGGTTACTTATTTCTGGCATAGAAAAATTGACTATGCTGATCAAATCATCGGTAACAGGTAGGGCTGAAATTGTTTTCAGGTGTCATTCTTATCCATTGAAGTACCCCGAAGCGTATGATCCTATTTGTTTGTTATTATCGGTTAGGGGGATTACGCCTACACCGCAGCAAATAAAATAACTAAAAATCGACAAAAATATTAACGATCCTGTGTCATAGATTTTTGATAACATCTGTTTAACTGATGTAAAGCGGTCTTGCTTACAAATGTCCATTTTAAAGTTGACGTATAAAAATTCTGATACGAACCCAAGTATGAGAAAACATCTGGAAATCCATTTTCACCCCAAACTTCTTATATGACTTATCACAAAAATGATCATACCTGGAGACGAAAAGTGTCCACAAACATTATATTATAACATTATATTATAGAAATTGATTATATATAAGGGCGTTAAGCCTGATTTTGGTTTACAAGGTACATAAATTTAAAAAAGGTCCAGTTAGTTTATTAGTAATACATTTTTATTTGTATTAGCTGGTGAAGTACTGCACATGTAACACACAGCATTGGCGCAGTTCGTTTGGCAATTAATATTAGCTGATTCATAACAGCAGTGCACGGACACTGAACAAATTACATATTTACTGGGGAGGGATATATATATATATATATATATATATATATATATATATATATATATATATATATATATATGCCATCTCGAACCCACTCATTAAAATTGCTTTATTGGCTGCATTGGAAGTAATACATTACTCTATTTATTCAACAGCCATGTGAAAGCGTGTGAAACGGATCTTTACGCCTACAGTTGTGAAGAATGTGAGTGTCACAACTAGCACAATTATAACTAAAACATGCATTGTTACTCATATAAAGGTTACTATTTCATGTCTTGTAGAAACACTATAATTTGGAACTATAATATTTGCATAAAATATGGATACTAACTTTGCTCTTCGTGATTACACAAGTTCATAATAACTATTCTCAAGCTGTGCGTTAAAGTCAAAATGTATCGTGCTTTTGATCGCCTCTTTATCCGATAAGAGTAACAATATAATAAAAATCTACGAATTAATACTAGAAATTTTCTTCACTAGAGGGATTATTGTATTTTACTTTGCCAGTGTCTATTAAATGTAAGGTGGTGCCTTTTCGTCATCTAATAGAAGATGTCTGTGCAACCGTTTGTGTAATACACGTATACATGTACATGTATGCTATGGTATAATCATGACCCTTCGTGAATTTAAAAAAAAAAAAAAAAAAAAAAAAATTCCCGTTTTTTAATTCATTGCCATCAGAAAGAGGAGTATTTCGTTCACAGTGGTATCCCTTGGACTGTCCTCGTGGAGCATCCACATGAAAGGACAGCAGGATTCTCGTATAAACGCGGTGACACAATCCGAGCAGACGTGTGCTTGGTTTGAACTGATGCCGTAACCGTTGATTCGTCTCTTTCGTTTTTCAATGGTGTGCACGTGTGCTGGCCTGGGTTGAGGTCTGGGATGAAGACAAAAAATCTTCTCATGATTGATCATTTGATATCAAGTACAAGTCTAAACAAACTGTTAAATGGGAATGCGCAGGATGTTTCCTCCCACCGTTACATATCCATGTTAGCAAAAGTAGGATAAATCAATTGTGGTTTGAAATGACATGCAACAGAAAGTAACAATTGCACTGGAGAACAAAAATCTAAAAATGAAACCATACCCTCGAAATATGGCGGGATGCTGGACATTAGTAATAAACATGTCAAAAATAAATGTATAGTGATGTGTTAAACAACAGATTTAAACGTGATATAAAGTCCACCAATGGTGCAAACGATAAGGCACACATTTCTTTGCCAGTTTAACCAGTTGTAGATTGATTTTACTGATAATACTGATGGTACTGGTACTATGGTATGGTACCATGGTACTGATGGTATTGATGTATTTGTAACTAAAATTTAGGAAATACTTGTATACCACATATGAAAAGTAAGTTACACGTCAAATTCTAACAAAAAATAATTACAAAAAGACACTGGAATGAGCTGGCCACACCCCAAGTATTCTTATATCCTGTCAAAAAAGTAATCAAAAACAAAAGATTTTATTACCTATAGGACCCCTTACAATTACATTACAATCTCCCCTCATGACAGAAATTAAGACTGCTGAATACATTCATAACATTAAAATATATTTTAGAACTTTAAAACTCGAAAAACTTTTCATGGTCAACCCTAATAAGATCAGCTTTCTAGTATGTGGTAATTCAGTCAATACATTTCGCAGGATTAACATGAAGGCTCGGAACAAAACAAGACCATGCCAAATCGCACTATACGATTAAACACTGGCATATGCAAGGCTTTGATGAATGCAGGGCGCACAAGAATTGGTTTTATCTCGTTTCGCTCATTACAATGAATCTCAAAAGCAAATGGCCCATCAATGCCAATCCAAACACATTTTTCTGGATTGTCGTGTTGCAGCAAGATTTACGTCAAATTCAACGACAGCTGGAAACAAACAGAGCACAGGATATACAAGTACCAGGTAAGTTCACTTTTTAAACAAACTTTTTGACAATGGCTGTTACCGGCGAGGTTTGTCTGTGAGCGGAAACCCTAGTTGTAATCGATATAGCTAACGGCGTTGATTAATTTATAACTGTTTGGGTTATGCTGACAATTTTTTAGTTTACTCGTCAGTTAGGAGAACAGGATCTCACATTGGCATTTGGGCTGACATTTCTTATTTGTATTTAAGGTGAAACGTGTAGTCAAAAGAACTTGAGAATGCTCAAGAAATATGGACTACAAGTAATTTTTCTTTTATATGCTCTCACAGATATAAGGTGAGTGTTAGATAGTGTTACTTTATTGCTTTTTACATTTAATATTATAGAACAGTATTAAACGGGATAAATTGTATTTTTTAACTCAGTGTAATATACAATAAAAAAAAATTGGTCCTTGAATCGACATATGCTATAATAAGATATAATCTTGTACTCCTAAAGATGTGTTAGTAAACCGTTGACATAGATATGATCTTATACTCCTAGAGATGTGTTAGTAAACCGTTGACATAGATATGATCTTATACTCCTAGAGATGTGTTAGTAAACCGTTGACATAGATATGATCTTATACTCCTAGAGATGTGTTAGTAAACCGTTGACATAGATATGATCTTATACTCCTAAAGATGTGTTAGTAAACCGTTTGAAGTTTTTACCGGTAGCAGACAAATATTGAATAGTGTTTTGGTCACGTGTATTTATGTTCATTTAAGCTCCGGTTTGACAGAGTCCTATCAGTGTTCACAGACCTGTTATAGCCAACAGCATTACACTATAGGTTGTGGGTTTTTTGGTTGGAGCAGATGTGCAGCATATAGGTAAGAGAATTAAAAAAAAAAACACCTATCTGACAAAGCTATACAAAAAAGTTACGGATCGAAAAAGCACTTTGAAATTGCCCAGAAAAGAAAAAATACTTCATATCACTCTAAGAAAAATGAGTGGTTCTGTTTCTAATGTAGTGAGCTTTAATCTCTTTTTTATTGTTAATTCTGGACGCACACTGTGAACCCTTTGCTGAACTGCAGCTTTAATGCCAATAGCTCAGTGTGTGCCTTGACATAAACTAGGGACCATTTAACATATTCGCCTTCACCGCACTCCTGTAGCAACATCGCATTCCAAACTATATAGAGGACAACGAGAACATTATTTTGCGGTGAAATCTTCCAATGAGCCATACGTAATATTACTTGATCTCTCCAAAAATTGGCTGCTTATGCATTTTCGTGCATTCTGCAAATGTCTGATTGTCCATTCCAGTAATTTCCAGATGCTATTATTGACAAAGAACTAAAATATTGCTTCTT